CCCTGTAACGATCGTCATAAACACCCATACCCTACCCGTCCTCCCCAGTAACAGTCGTCACTAGCAGCCCCATCCAACACCAACCCCCCCCTTTCCCAAGGGAAACTGTAGGGATGCCTTCGCATGTGCCCATCCTTCTGCTCCCATTTTCTTTTAGCAGGTTTCTTGTCAGCCTCTGTGCATGTAGACATGATTGGTCTGTAGTGCCGCTCGTCCCTCTCCCAGTCTGAGTTATACTGGACAAGGAATTTAAAAAAAATACAATCAGGTATTTACACTAGATGCATGTTAAAAGATTATTTGTATTTTTATTAAATACACAAACACTTTCATTTTCTCTATCTTTTTATGTGCCCAGAATGCAACTTCAAGCATCCTCAAGAAGTGGACCATTTAAGCAAGCATACCACTAAAAAGGGCTCTAATAAGACCACCCTGATGTGCTTCACTCACTGCAGCTTATGTATGCTTTAAGGAATGCACCAAATAAGTTTACTTCTTTACTTGCCTTCTAACTACAACTGGTCTAACAAAGCTACAAAACATTAAAATCTAAATGGAATTTTAAAGACAAGACTGCCATCTCATGTTAGATATAGTGCTTTGCAGGCAAATTCAAATTTAAGTTGTAGTAAAAGTGTTCATTATTATTAATAAGGATACTTAATTGGAAATAGATCTCCAGCACAATCCACACTTATGACATACTTTTAAAGTGAAGAATATATGAAGTCACTAAATGCAACTAACATGTTTACTGTCATTTTCTACATAGAAGGTTAATGTGTAATTATATGCCTAACACCTAGCACTGTCGAACCCTACTACTATGTCATATACAGTTTACACAAGGCTCAATGAACTAAGCTATAATGATTGTTAATTGTCAATAAAGATTTTTATTTTCAGCATTGATTGCCAAGGATAAGAGTCTATAACAGAAAATAATGACCATTAGGGCAAATAGTGCATGCAGCGCAGCCTGTAGAGTAAAATGGGAACAGTTGGGATGGGTGTATTTTAATGTGGTATGATTAAATAGAGGTAAACTTTTCAACCTCTACATGTCAGCAGCATACCAACCCTCCCTAAACAGCAGTCTAGCACCTCCCAAAAATATATGGAAAGTATGTGAAAATTGTGTACTTCTATTAAACTTCAGGTAATATGAAAATTCAATTTCTGATTACCACGCAATGCCCCAGCACTTGTTGCATTGTAGTTTTATTGCAGATAAGATAAATCTCTGATCGCTAAACCATAAGATAGCTTTAAATTAGGGTTGCACAGATACCAAGTACAGTACTCAGTACAAGTACGAGTACATGTACCGATACTTTTGAGCTTCAACACTAGACTAGAGAAAAATTCAAAAGTTAGGAGGCAGCTGTCATTTGTAAGGAGCACACGGAGCTCCCGGGATTTGTACATCTCTGTTTTCTTGTACGATTTTGTTTTTATAAATATAAATAAAGGGATGCACAGATACCAGTTTTGCGAGTACTGGTACTTGCCGAGTACTTACAAGTACGAGTACTGATACATTTTTGTTTATTGTCATGTGACAGTTTTTCAAAACAATACAGACTAATGATTTCAGAACAGTGGTGGAGCACCAGAGCTAGGTCACCGCCGCAACCGTGGTAGTTCTCATGAAAATGCCAAGTATCGGCACTGGTACTCGAAAAGTATCTGTGCATCCCTACTTTAAATCATCTAATGCATGTTCTTGTGATAGGAGAGAGCAACTAAAGTGTGGGGCAATCAGGGGCAGACTGGACCAGAGGGGCAAATGCAAAACATTGAGCCAACTGCTGACACCATAGAGTGTAAAGTCTCCCCCATGTAGAACTCTTGTCGTGCCCTCTCTACAATTTGTGTTGCTACTCCTATTCCCTTCTTAAATCTCTGCCTCCTCTCTCTTCCTCCTTTACATTCTGGTTTCAATTCTTCCTCTACCCCCTGCTACGCAGTCTAGACTCTTCCTATCAGGGATACCGGCACAGGTGACCCCACACCTGCGCAGGTACCCACACAGGCAGACCAAACACGCGTGACCACACAGGGCAAGGCAGAATGTATGATATACCGTTTTAATTTGCCAACCAGAATAATACAACAGAAACAAGTATTAGCAACTAGCTACATCTAAACAACACCACATGCAAGAAGAAACAGGCAAGCACACCCAGGGAGCAAAGCAAAACACCAGGGGAACTAAGGGACCAAAGGTCAGGGTACAAGGAGCTAACAGGACTCAGGAACATAAACAGGTCACGGTTCTGGACAACAAGCAGGGAACATACACAGGATACAGGACTCGGCAACAGCAGCAGGTTACAGGACAGGGGACTCAGGCTTAACAGGAAACAATACTAAGCCACAGACCTTACTGCAGGGAGGGCTTAAGTAACCTCCCAAGGAGCACCAGGTGGTGGATGATTGGTGGCAGCTGGGAGACACCTGCAGGCGAGCACTGGAGTTGCAGTTTCCAGCACCACCCAGTGGAGGTCTGGTACCTAGCAGTTCCTGGTTGCCTGGAGACCCCCGCAGGTGAGTACGCAAACTGCAGGGCTTAGCTCCAGCGCCACCAGGAGGCGCTCTGGATCCTAACACTTCCCTCTTTCTCTACTTTCCAAGATGTCATTGCACTGCTTCCTCTCCTTCATTCTCCTGCCTCCTGCTGCCATTGCTTTTTCCACTTTTCACTATGGTTTTATTTTTACAATATGTTCTTGTTGTGTTCTTTACCCCCCTCCACAATTCTTCCCTACTGCCTCTTACTCCACTATCTAGCCTTGTTGTCTTCTCTTTCTTCCTCCTTCACTATCTGGTCTCTCTGAAAAAAGTAAATTAAAATTGTCATAAGGTAGAGTAAGACGATCAGAAATAAAGAGGTTGCCATAAAGTACTTGGTGTATATGCCAGTGACTTTGGGGACATACTTTGAGGGGAATGTATCAAATAAATTGTGACAGTTTTAGCCTCTTAGATCATTTTTTTAATGTGCAAATCTGTTTTTTAACATGTGCCCCTGTTTTCACCTGAGCTTGCACTACTTTTTCAACTGCACGTTTTTTCGCACGTTTTTTTATCTGCACTTGTCCTGCGGCTGCTTGAAACTGGGGCATTACCTAACAAAACAATCACAACTTAAGAAGTCCCTGTGACCACTTCTTCAAGAAGTGACAGTTAAGCTTTTTGCCTGGAGTTACAAGTCTTCTTTCCTGGAGTCTATTAAACCTCATTCATGAACATTACACTAGCATCATAAATCTGGTGCAAAGTGCATCAAATACATTCCGTGCAAGTTCAAACACTTGAAATTGCTATGATAAATCCCCCCTTTGTCTTTTTATTGCAGAAGGAAAAGTGTGCCTTTTTGAGCACAAAATCACAAAGTCCCATTGAAACGGAATGTTAACCCCCACCCCTCTCCCCCACTGATTCTGTGCCCAAAGACTCACACCTTTGCTACAATAGTAATGTTAGCAAAAAAAAACAAACTACTTCATAGGAAGATATAGCCACACAAAAGAAAATCAGGTGCTGGAGCGTATGGGCACAACAATATCAGTCAACAATAGGAATAAAGCAGCAAAAACAGCTATGCCCTGAGTTTATTAATCGCTTTGTCCAGCTACTGTTAAGTAGGCTCAATTAGTCTAAGTAAGAAGGTTTATTGTAAGTTAGGAATCAGTTAGCCCAGTGGAGTGAGCTGGGAGAATTTATGGTGATATCCGACATGTGTGGCCAAATCTTCGTTTACGTACACATGCATGCCCTATGCCCGCGTGTTTATTCTCATGCGGATGGCGGGGGCAGCAAGGTTGGTTTTCATTTCTTTAACAATTTATTTTATTTTTTTACCACTTTTTTTTTCCACATAATTTTATTGTTATTACAAAGGGGCTCTTCAGAAGTCCACGTCTGCCTGGAGATGGGCTTCAATTATATTAATACTCAATAAAATAACAAAAAGAAGAGCTGATTTGAACAGTGTAAAAAAACTAGGAATTATCTTTTTTTTACCTAACTGGTGTTTATAAGCCAAAGTGTAGGAATTATGCTACTAAAACCTCTTCCAATTCACTTCCAATTAACAGTAAGACATCTGAGTGCTCAGAGCTGCCCAGAATTGGTTGGCATGACACCGTGCTGGCCTTGAAAACTTACATTTCTCTGTCAGATACAGTTAATATGAAACACTTTCAATATGTTTTACAATCTTAATAAAATGCAGTAAAACATTTTAATCTTTTAATTATAAGTTTAAGTTTAAGAACAATTATGTACATGATTCCAAAAGTGTATTGTTTTATATTTGTAGAATGCACCTGAAAAGGACGGGAAGCACACATCATTTGAAATGTATTTTATTTCAAATACTGAAATAATGGGAACGACTCATAGTGGAAGATCTCCAAGTAACAAGTACATCATGTCTACATTAGATTGCATTGACTTAAACATAGTATGGCTTTGTTCTCCGAGCCCATACAAAAAAAAGTATTCTAAAAAAATTTTTTCTTAGCTAAAACAAAAGCAAATTAAAAGATTATTCCATAACAAAGTGCAAGTAGTAAGTCTGAAATAGCATATTTATACTTGTCCTAGCTGGACAGCCATTGTGTAATATATGCCTGAAAGGGATATACTGAGAGAAATACTGTATGTATTCCACCATTGCTGACCTCTCCTAAAAAGTGACTGTTGCCCACCTAATGTTCTCTACATAGATGTCAATATTTTCAGCCACTTTCACAAAAACAATATGCAGATCTGATGTTCTGACTTCACTATGGCTACATACTTGTTATAGACCTGAAACAGAGATATACTTTTCCATAGAAGGGCAGAAATGGTAGCTTCCTTTTAGCTTGGCAATATGTTTAGGATTTAACCATCCAGATTCTGAGACCTCCTTACCAAAGAATCTTTATTCACTTCAAATAGGTTTTTACACTGCTAATATTATAATAAATAAAGTAAGGTTTATATCCCAAGCTTTTACGTACCTGTACCTCTACATCTCAGTTTTCCAATACTGTGATAAGCCATTTCCAAGGGGAAGTTATTGGTGTCTCCAAAATACACAGCCTTAATTGGCAGAGCTGTCTTATCACGTAGGAAGCCATCGTCTGTTCTCCAGATGTTATCATTGCTGTCACAGTTGCAGACCTTATCAGGAAATGCACAAGTACCTGGAGAACAAATTCAAATTAGTGTTCAGGTAAGCAGTAGTATCCATCCATTGGCTTTAGAGCTACATGTAACCCCCATCTAAACCTGATACTACTTTCAGCAGCCTTTTTGTAGGTTTGTCTATCCAATTAATTGTAATTGTTGCATTATAAATTAATCATGACCCTTAAGTCATGCAAATTACCTAACTTTTATAATTTGTCTGTGAAGGTTCTCATTCATCCAGGTCATGGTATATCTGTAAAAAATAAGTCAAGGCAACTGGACTTTCTGTATTTTTCTTGAAGACATTTCACTGGACATCCAGCCAGCTTTCTCAATTCAGAATGACTACAAAAATTATCTGGGAATAAATATGGTGAATTAACACCTCTCTCTGGGAAGGTTAATACCACTTCATAGAATCCAATTATGCAAACTGATCGGATGTCCAGTGAAACGTCTTCAAGAATAAAAAAAACAGCAAGTCCAGTTGCCTTGACTTATTTTTTACAGATATTTTATCATTTAATTCAGTTTATCATTGTTATAAGGATCCTTGTAGTATTATTTTTAATCAAAGGCACTCATATAGACAAACCTTGAATTGCTGCAGTTTGCATACTTTTCTTTTTCAAAGACCACCAAATGCATGACTCACCAATTGCACCTGTCTATAACTGGAAAATGTTGCTATTATTTATAATAAAGGGTAGATATGTGTATTCGTTAGCGTACGTATACATTTTCGTCCGATTTTTTGGCTGTTTGGTATTTGTTTGATATGCCATATCCGAAAATACTGAATCCGAATAACGAAAAAACTGAAAAGCAAATGCATTACCTTTTCCTTTCAGTTTGTCATCAGCAGAGGAGCGGATCTGAAGGAGAAAGTTCTCTTTCAGGTCTGCTCCTCTGCTGATTGACAGCAGGCAGTGGAGGGGTGCAATAGCCAGCCTGCTATTGGCTATTTAAAATTGCAATAGCTAATAGCAGGCTGGCTATAACACCTTGTTGTAAACTCCCAGTAATACTAGAGCACCTGTGATCACTAAAAGCAGAAACCTGTGTCACCAAAATCAGAAATAAATATGTGCCGCACTATTATCAATTGCCAAATGTGTGTGTCACCTAATTCATTTAATGGTTTCCACCACCATTCCCAATTGTAATCAATGTGTCATGCAAAACAATGTTAAAAAGAAAAACTCTCATTCATATGCGATTCAGCGTAAATATATCCACAGTATACATGATAGGTGCAACAATAATTCATGACTTCAACAATCAACGATAATTTTCGTCCGTGTAATGTAATGTATCACAATTCACATATTACTGATTCATATTAATCTATAATCTACACTGTGTACATTCATCAAACTATACATATTATACAGGATATTACACAAAATTCATCAACATATAAATGGTCAATTCATAAGGCCGGGTTCAAGCGTGGTTATTTGCATGTTTATGCTCGTTATTCACATTTTAATGTGCGTTTGTACGCTCGTACATGAAGAAGGGTGTTTTGACTGGCAGCTTCAGAAACATTACATTACAAATTGCACTTACAAACATGCAAAACTGCGCATGAATATGTACAACATAGTTCTGCTGCACGTTTGTGTGATTCTTTTGAAGTCTATTGGGCAAAAAACGCACTGTTTACTACCTGAAGACGCTCATGTACCTTTTCAGGCGTTTGGCATTTTCCTGCTAGCGTTTGTCTGTTCAGGTGTGAACAGGGACCATAAAAAAATCATGGGATTTCTTGTGTTGAGCATTTAAAAGTGCTTTTCTAACTGCTCAAAAACTCCTAGGTTCGAACCAGGCCTAAAGTGCCAGAAATTGCAAAGTGACTAGTGCAGAACCAGATACAAAGTGACCAGTGCCAGGAAAATAAAAACAAAAGTATCCAGTGCAATTAAATACAAAGAGGGGAATTTATCAAAACTGGAGCAGACAAAAACTGGAGCAGACAAAAACTGGAGCAGCTGTGCATGGCAACCAATCAGCTTCTGTGTTTTATTTTCAAATCTTAACTGAACAAACTGAAGAGAGAAGCTGATTGGTTGAAACTGCTCTGAAATCCGTCTGCTCCAGTTTTGATAAATTCCCCCCAAAGTGTTCAGTACCTCTGAATATATCCTAAAGTCTCAAAAGTGCAGAGAGGTCCAAATACGGCTAGTCTTTTCACCCACAGCCAGGGCTGCATTAAACATTTCAATTTGCGGTATATACCGGCACTGCTGAACTGCCTGTGATTTGCTGCTGATACAGAACAAAATACAAAGTGACCAATGCAGGTATAGTTTGAAGAATTTACACAGTGTTGATTATAGATCAATATGAATAAGATGTTAAAAAGATGTAGGGATCAGCACTAAACGGAGACACCACCCCTAAATACAGTCATAAATACAAAAAAGAAGAATCCTGGGCGCCGCTCCATTGGCTGACGGCCCCGGGGGGTGTGGTCTAGCCTTGGTTGGGTCACTCCCATCTTTCGGAGGCGCTCATAAGGGCGCAATTGCGGACCTAGTGCCTGCCCCAGCCGCAGACGTCACACGCTGACTGATCGAGACGGCGCGTGGGTCTGCGGTGGGAAACATCTAGAGTAAGGGAGACTCGGGACATTGGAGAATGGTAGAGGTTGGTCCTGGACACTTGAGGAGCTTGAACAATTCACAAGGTACCCCAATCACGTAATGGGATATATTCAGTGTTTCTTATCTATTACTATATCTGGTCACTTTCTCTTAGGATGATTTTCTGAATGGATTAACTATATAATTTAAACATTGATACTAATGAGGACAATCCTTGATAATCTTTAATAATGTTTATATACAATTCAATTATACTTTAATGAAGGGATGGAAGTGACATAGATGGTATTTGGATGAGATACATTGACTGGTGTGGATGCTGTTATGGATATAAAAGTACCTATTGTGAAGGCCAATTGTATCCAACCTTAGTTTGGATACATTTACTCACTGATTCAGTAAGGCTCAGAGAAGCTGTTTCATTGTATCTTATATTTAGGTGGTTTTGCAATGCTAGATGCAATACATTGTATTCACATGAAGTTATACATAGGAGAGCATTGGTTTATAATTTAATCTTGTAGGTCGCATAAGGACAGATAGAGATGCCTCCTCTTCCATACATCCCCTGACTTATCCCTGCTTCTCTTCTCCTGGCGGAGTGGAGGGACTCCCCTAGATGTGAATCTGCTCGTCCCCAGAAATGTTATACATGGTATTTATGTATTTATCTCATTCATTGATCTATGTCAGTTAAAGTTATGTATGGCTAATTGCTATTTTCAACTATTTGAGTGCTCACCATAATATTCATATGGATTCTACAGGCCGCCTCTATAAACTTCTTGAAAAAGCTAGGGCGAAACACGTCGAAGAATGAAAAAGTACAGATTTGTGATTGGAACATTTAACAATATGAAAATATATAACAATAATATGTTGACTGATCTTAAAAATTATATATTGACTGATCTAATTTATTATGAATTTACAATGAAATCAAGAGTGTTAATTATTGCTATTTTGCACAATATCAATCTGTACGGATGCTGTTTATATGTCTAATGGTCCTGTTTTTAGATGTGTGGTATGTCTTTTATATGCAACTTTTTGTCAATCATGAAATTATGTTATTAAATATGAATTTTACCATACAAGAATGAGTCATGTGACATTATGTCTAACTGCATTGTTTACGAGTCACCTACAAAGCCCCGTTTATTTATTTTTTGTATTTATAGATCAATAGGATTCAATAATATTTGTTGATGTCATTAATTATTGTTGCACCTTATAGTGTTTACTGTAGATATTTGCACTGAATTTCGTATGAATTAGAGTTTTACCTATTGGTATTGTTTTACATGACACATTGATGAAGACTGGAAATAGTGGTGAAAACCACCAAATGAATTAGGTGACACACACATTTGGCAATTGATATTTGTTAGCTTGGCACAATATTTATTAGTGATTTTGGTGATACATGTTTCTATATATAGTGATTAAAGTTGCTCTAGTATTGGCAGGACTTAATTCTATTACAACAAGTTGCAATAGCCAGCCTGCTATTGGCTATTGCAACTTGCAATAGCCAATTACAGGCTGGCTATTGCACCCACTCTCTGCCTGCTGAGTTCTCTTTCAGGTCCGCTTCCCTGCTGATTGATCCACAGTGGCTGGGAGCAATAGCCAGCCTGCTATTAGCTATTTTAAATTGCAATAGCCAATCACCAGAGGAGTGGACCTGAAGGAAAAGTTTGCCTTCAGACACCTTTATTGTGGCACACTCCTACTTTTATTTTTTATTGTGTTTCCCATACCTTATAAAGCCTGGAGACCACCAAGAAAAGTATGGTGTATTTTAATTCAGCACATATTACAGCATTCATATTTTATTTATTTTTTAATGACTTTGAGGTTTTTTGATTTTCCATATATATATTAAATACAGGGACAGATCGTTTAATGGTTCTACGCCTTAAGCTGATTTTATTTACATATTTATTTTAAAAAAAAATATGTTATAGAGTATATATTACCTTTACATGGTTACTAACCATAAATCACGTTATTTTATACAAGTATTACAAGGGATTCCTGAGAAAACCAGAAATCTCCATTTTTTTTTCTTGGCCTTTCTAAATAGTAACATGGATGGGGTCTTTAATACCACAGCTCCTAGACCCCATCCATGTTCAATCAAAAAATGAATGAGAATTATTGTTCATCAATAATGCTGTACAGCATCAGGTTTGTGCCAAGCTATGATATGATTGGAGGCCACCATCTATGTTCTAGGATTCCTTTTTGACTCTCCAAACATCATCTGTCTGCGATCTCAATTTATTTCTCATAAAATAGTTTTTTTCTTTTGGAGTTTGCTGATTTTCTGTTATAAATTACCAACAGATACGTTTTAATATGATTACATTGTCATTTATAATAAATTGGAAGTTATATTGGGTTTAAAGTCATTATAAAGTCAAAAGGATTTTAAGCTATTTCAAATGCTGATGAAATCGCTTACAATGGATACTGCTTCTTAATTGTTTAAATTTTAGTTTCCTGCAGAATCAGTTGGTCCCCTGAGCACTGATGCTGACTTCCTGTTTTGGAGTGACTCCTTTCTGAAGAAGAGTGCTACGCAGTCACCCTTGTGTGTACTAGTAAGTAGGGATAGTCTCGATGTTCAAGTCCAACAACAGTTCAACTCGAACATCGGTAGTTTGCGTGTTCGGCGAACACACAAACTATCATGGTGTTCGGCGGGCTATTCGTCTGCCGAGCGCCCCACATGGCATTGCGCACCGCACAGTGCCTTGTGAAGCCTTAATTAGGTAAAGCCTTTACCCAATCACAGCACAGTAATGATGACTTTGCCCAATCATGGCTAACGCAGCTAAGCCCTGTCAGGTGCCGAACAAATGTAAACAGTTGGGCGGAGCTAGCGGTGATGTCACCACTCCACCCAATTGTTTATATTTTGCTGGCATGTATCAGAATGCCATTCTGCGGCGGGAGTTCACAAGCGGAAAGGGTCGGCAGGCGTCGGGTTTTTAAAAATTATTTCTATTTATTTTTTTAATTTCGTCAAGTTGCCATCATTGTCGTGGACTACGCTGTACGTCATGATTGACCCTAGGATAACGTCGGTGGATCCATTTTTTTTAAAATAAAAGGCTTGTTAAAATCATCAATCAAATCTTTTGTTTTTGTTTTTTTTTATTAAAGGATTTTTTTCAAAAGTCTGGTTTATATTTAAAAAATTTGATCTAACTCTTTAGTGAGTGGGTAGGGGTATAAGTGCCCCTTACTCTTTCACATGGGGGGCACGCATCTGGGTAGTACAAGGGGTACCCCGATGTGAATAAGCCCCCCCCGCCCCCCACAACCAACACCCCAGGGCTTGTGGGTAAGAGGCCCTTGTCTCCACTGGCACGGGGACACGGTGCTTTTCCAGGGACGACCTGGTGACGTGGGAGCATGGAGCCAGCTTCGCAGCCAGTCAGGAAGCCGGGGGCGCCACATCATTACACTCCACCCGGCTTCCTGATTGGCCAGCGAGCCGGCTCCATGCTTTATCGTCACCTGGTGATGAGGAAGCATGGAAACTGCTTCCCCTGCTGGAAGCCGGATGGCGAGTCATTACACTCCGCCTGGCTTCCCGGCTAATCAGGAAACCAGGTGGCACGTCATTACACGCCACCTGACTTCTTTAATGGGACTTCCGGTATCGGTATTCGGTATCGACAAGTACCGGGAAAAAAATATTGGTACTTGCACTCATACTCGATACCGAAAAAACCAGTAACGGTGCATCCCTAATTTTATGTTTATGTACTGTTTAAGTTGAACTCTTTCAAATTAGTGCTGTTGGTTTCAATTAACATTCCTTTCCACTTTTGCAGTCAAATTCGGATAACACCTATTTTTTATACTGCACGTTACATTGTGCTAGCTCAGGACTGAAACATCCTGCTTAGTTTTCACTGTCTGGGGAGTTGGGGGGAGTTTTGTTTCAAATAATTAACTCTGCCCCCGTACTGTGCCGGCAGATTTTATTATTACTTGCAAACTAGATAAGTAGGACTGTGGGGGACATTGGGGGAATTCATAAAAACTGGAGCAGACAGAAACTGGAGCAACCAATCAGCTTCTCTGTTTAATTTTCAAAATGTAACTAAACAAACAGAAAAAAGAAGCTGATTGGTTGCTATGGGCAACTGCTTAGATTTGGTCTGATTCAGTATTTATGAATTTCTCCCATTGTATGTTAATGAGGAGACACTTAGTTGCTGTTACTGAAATTGAGAGAGGAGCATGCAAAGGCTGGCTAAATAGAGATATCTAAAGGTGGCCATACACTGTACAACCATCGCAAGACCTTAGTCTTGCGATGGTTGTAAAGTGATTAAAAAAACGTACGATCTGCCCATCTTGGACAGGCAGATCGTACTCTCGATCATCGCAAGGCCGCCCCCCCGAGGGGCGGGCTTCCGATGAGCGCAATGCTGAACGGGCAGTGTGCGCGTGCGCACACTGGCCCGTTTGGCATTTGTCTCCCGAGCACCGTTCAAACCACCCGAAAATCGTACGATTTTCGGCTGGTTTTCTAGCGTGCTCCTTAGACAAAAGACGTGCGACCGTACAGTAGAAACGGTCGCACCTCTTCATTCACACTGCTCGATTCTCGTACGATCGTGGGATTTCCAGCGATTCTCGCACGAGAATCGAGCAGTGTATGGGCACCTTAAAAGGGACGAAATATATTTCTTTAAATGATTGTTAGATATGCCGTGTGAATAGGAACACATAAACTTATAGGGGTCTATTCACGAAGCTGCCAAAGGATCTGGCCGTAGCTTCGGCCGATCCTTCGGCTAGAGTTCGGCCCCAGGACCCCTTCGGTTCAGTAAGCCGACCCGAATCCACACAAAGCAAGCCGATGTATGGCTGATTTCAGCCAATGTACGGCTGAAATTAGCCGTACCAGCCTGAAGTGAATAGCCGAACAGTGTTCGGCTCACTTCACTTCAGATCGGTCATTCACTCGGCTGCCCTTGGCAGCTTCGTGAATAGACCCCATAGTGGGGGTTTCTCAATTTTGCCTGCGAAAGTGGAAATACACTTTAATATAATCCATCCCCCAGAAAGCTTGCTGTGGATGCCCATGGAAACAAGTACCGTACCTATAAAACAGCTATAAATTTTCGTGAATAATTTTGTAAATAATTTAATTTTCTTTACATTTATTGAACCTTATGCACCATGCAAATGCATTCCTAGTCAATTATTGCACATTTGTACCAGTTTTTCCACATGCACAACCACCGACTGCAGAATCAGCACTACCCCAGTAAATCATCTTCTTTCCATCCCAGGAATCCCACCAGCCCCATCCAGACTGAATGAAGCGCACATGGCGACAGTCGAGCTGGAATATAAAGAAAAAATATATATATATATATATATTAATAGACATTGACAATTGAAGCAAAGCAAATAAGGCAGTTAGTTTTACAATAATGTATTCCTTAAAGGAAAACTAACTTTTTTGGTTGCCAAATGTATTTCAATATTTTGATGTTTGCAGTTTGATACTATAATCATCACAATGTCACTTTTGTTAATACTTATATAAAATCCTCATTTTAGATTTATTTAGATCGATTTAGATTTATGGTGCTTCCATAACATGTGATTGCAGAGAATTCTAGCCTTTCTAAAAGACAGCCCAGCAGTACCTGTTTTCTTGTATAGCAAGGGGAAAATATCTCCAGCAGGACACAAACAAAAAAAATCTGATGGGTTATATTCCTTACTACTCTTATCAAGATTAAACAAAAAGTTTTGATCTTACATATGCTTTAAAGAAAAACTCTGGGTAAAAAATGAATAGAAAAAAGTTATACTCACCTGATCCTCCAAACTGCCCAGCTATTAGCCTCATTCCCCCTGTGCTGTAGCGTTCTAAGGTCCCTGAGTCATCATGTTCTATACACAGTGTATTAGACGTGATAATGCCAAGGGATATAACATCGCTGCAATGGAGGAGCAGAGATGCTGGAGAAAGTGCTGTTGCAGCCGGCCGGCTCTGAAGATTGGGCATAACTTAGTTATTTTTGACCTTAATTAGCACCACTGCAAGGGTTATAAAAAATGTGCTTTGTACTTTGTACAAATGTGTTAATGAGGCAAGGTTATTATTAAAGTTGCCAACAAATTTGAGATGCCGGCCAGCCTTGCATAGATAATCAGGCCACCAAATAAGCTTTGCTTTGAATTCACTAGACCAGCCTGTTGTATCTATGAAAGATAGAGGAGAGAGTACTCTGCAGGCCAATATTCTATTTGATTTCTGTAGGCACTTCTAAACACTCCTAAGCACTTCTAAACATACAACATTCATTAGTGTGCAAAACGTACATTTGTTTTTCCTTCTGCTGAGTTGTGACCATTACTGATGACCATTGTTTCTGCACCCTGCAATTGCTAAATGATAACTGCTTCTGTGGGGGGAAAAGCCAAACCACTGCATCCTCTGCAATAGAAGGGAACTAAAACATCATGGGGAACACATATATACAGTTGTTAGGAGAAGAAGGGGTTTCCACTTGTATTTAATTTAAAATCTATTTGCACCATTCAAATGTTACTCTCTTTAATTTCTGAGCAAAGAGCAAACTGCTTACCCTAACAAATTGTTCACAGCTTTGTGACACTTTAGTAAGGGCATTTAGCTGAGCAAGATCTGCTGAGTATATCACTTCTCTCTTGTAGCATCCGGGCTCCTCACATGGGCTCACGGGTATACGCCTTTCACTGTTGTGGCCGATAACTGTTATGCCTGTGACCAAAAAGTTAAACATTATAATGTGATGGTTTTTATGACAGAGCTAATGTCAAGAGCGTTACATGACAGAAGTGTATGAAGGCAATCTTTTAAACATGTAATGATTAATGAAAGAGCATATGTTAACTGAAGCAGAGTTTGATGGGGCATATCAGACCACTGGAAAGCCAGGCCCTGCTTTATGTGAGAGAGCTGCGGACCGACTCCTCTCCTATGTGCTGGCAGTACTTAGCAGTGTAAAAAAGTGTAAAAAAGTAATAGAGACATTACCATGTGTGCAGCCCTTTTACATTACAGTAATAGGCAGGGTTCAATTGGGCTTTGAAGTATATCTAAAGCTGATTCTTTTATAGTTTTGGATGGAATAAAAAGATTAAAATCCTGAAAGGTGTTTATTGTTATATGTGTCCACACTAGGGAGATTCACCCTTTCTATTTGTCCTGGTCACCATTGTTACTGGGTGAAAAGATTATGGGAAATCCAAAATGTTACAGATGTCCCTGGACCAGGAGCAGGGGAGTAACTAGAAATCACAGGGCCCCATGGCAAAATTTTGTATGGGGCCCTGTGATTTCTAGTTACGCCACTTGCAGAGCCCACCTGAGAGTGACCCTGCAGAGCCAACTATAGATGTTCTATGGTGGGTGGTGCAGGGTTTCAGGTGGGCTGGTCACACCCCTGCACACCTCTTACCTGTCAGCCCCGGTCCGCTGTCAGCCTCTTCCACCGCCTGGCCCTCCTCCTCCACAGTCGCTAGCAGGCCCCGCCTCCTCCTCCATCACCGGGCCCTGCCTCCTCCTCCGCAGCCACCACCTGGCCCTGCCTCCTCCTACGCAACTGCTGGCTGTCACTGACTCAGCATCGGTTGTGAGGAGGAACGCACCGCTGTACAGATCACTGACATATTGTCAGTGATCTGAACAGTGACGCATTCCTCCTCACAGCTGCCTGTGACAGGCAGCAGCCTGCAATGCCATAGCGACCCAGGCGGCTTGCACGGCATCAGCGGGACCCCTTTGTCCCTCATCCTGGCCAGGCCCCCCTGTGCCCCGGGCCCCATAGCGGCCGCCTGGGTTGCTATGGTGATAGTTCTGCCACTGAACAGGAGGTAAACGGAAATCTTTCAGTGGAACACACTATTAAAAACTTAAAACCTGAAGTTTTGGATTTAGATATACAGTACTTTAATTGTTAGCTTTTATATACAGATATGTAAAGATGTTTGTATCTGATATAAGGTATTTACTTCTTTAGATATGGAGAAAATGTTCTGGGAATACATCAATAAGCTTCTACTAAAAAACAAAAAAACAAAAAGACAAAATAATAATTTCTAAATTAATTTCAAGAACTGTTATTATTACTATATAGTTGTGGTCATTAAGAACCAAGGGAGGACTGGGAACATTCTCCCCTGGGGGGAAAAACACACACAACATGAGCCATGTTTCTGCAGAGATTGGTGGGTGTTCCTAAAGAACATGGCTTATTGTGACCACATGTTTACGTCTTCTAGCACTGACTTCATTTGTAGCCTTTGGCATTAAGTCATATGATGTTTTGATTATGGGTCTGAATGGGGTGAAGGTAGCTATATAATGGCCAACATGTGTCTCTGACTGTTCCACTGTGATCAGTGATTAAAAGGGGAAATGTTTCTTCTGCGGGCCAAAAGCCAAACAAATCTTATTAGTACCTGCCTGTGGGGAAAATGCTCCACAGCACACTCCTCCCCTATTTAGCACTGGTACTCAAAACATGAAAACTTTAGCATTGCTTGGAAATTGAACAATACAGTCACCTCATTCTGTCTAAGCAAAGTTTCATTGTGTAGTTACCAGACTGTGATGACATGTCACAGTAGACCCCAAATTCAGGAAGCCCTTTGTCAACACCATCTGGGTCAATCGAATATCTCCCCGACTCATTGATACCAGCTTCTTTAAGAGCAGCACATGACTCTAAGACTGGAGGTTCTGAAACTTTCAAAAACATGAAACACATAAGTCCGATTGCGTTAGAGATCCTTAAAGTGACACTAAATTCAGAAGTTACATTTTAAAGATGCATTCAAGTACCTTACCTACTAACACAAATGTATCTTATTTATGTATCACTCAGCTGTAGATCCTCAAATCATCTCTGAATTCATACTGACACTGTCCTTCCTTCTGGAGGGTGGCTACTTTTGTTCCCCATGGTCTCTGTGTTTGTTGTAAAGTAGTCACCTCTCACTCCCATGATGGACTACAATCTCACATTTAGTTTACTAATTTGTATTGAAATCATCATCTATCACGGGAGCGAGCTTGGAGCAATTCCAATTCAGAGATGATTTGAGGATCTACAACTGAGTGATACACAAATAAGATACATTGTTGTTACTAGTTAAGGTACGTGAATGTATTTTTAAGATTTAACTCCTGAGTTCTGTGTCACTTTAGGCATAACAAATATTTTAACTGCTTACTTAATGTATATTTTAAATAAAGAGACAGACTTACTTGTTCCCCAGCAGCGAAGTTTGCCTATACGGTAGAATGCTAATGATCGTGTTATATCTGTCCCTCCAAATCTGATTTCCTTGATTGGCAAAGATGATTTATCCGTTATGGCTCCTTCATCTGTCCTCCACACATCGTCATTTGCATCACAGTTGCAAGATGTCATTTCCAAGGCACATTCACCTATAATACATATACAAACATTGTCTAAACTAGCGCATGTGCACTGCAAAAAAAAAAAAATTCTGCCGAAAAAAAAAATGAAAACAAAAAAGGTTTCCATTTGTTTCATCAAAGAAAACAAATTTTTCTGCTGATTCGGATTTGGAGGCAACCAGTCTCCGAATCTGAAACCACACACTGAGAATGCTAAGCGAGCGGCAGTCATGTCGGCCGCCGGCACGTTCTACGCTTGCCCGCTGCCATCTTTGAGTGCATCTTGGTTTACACCAAGATGGCGACCCCCATATGTTTGGCCGCCGCCATCTTGGTGTATACCAAGATATACTGAAAGATGGCAGCGCGCCTAAGTAGGAACACGCCAGCGGCCAATATGCCCCCCGCGCGTTCTGCAAAGAATTTATGTATGCCCGAATATAGTTTTAGTATATTCGGGCATATAATAAATTCTTTATTTCGGAATTGGACGGACCGCTGAATCAACTGAATTTCATTGATTTGCAGGTTCGTCCGAATCCGAATGCACATATATATCTTCAACTGCTCGTTAACACAAATATCTAATCAGCCAATCACATGGCAGTAACTCAATACATTTAGGCATGTAGACATGGTCAAGATGGTCTGCTGAAGTTCAAACCCATTTAAGTGACTTTGAACATGGCACGGTGCCAGACGGGCTAGTTTGAGTATTTCAGCAACTGCTGATCTACTGGGATTTTCATACACAACCATCTTTAGGGTTTACAGAGAATGGTCTAAAAAAGAGAAAATATCCAGTGAGCGTCAGCTCTCTGGGCAAGAATATCTTGTTGATGCCAGAGGAGAATGGGCAGACTGGTTCAAGCTGATAGAAAGGCAACAGTAACTCAAATAACCCCTCATTACATCTGACGTATGCAGGAGAGCATCTCTGGACAACAAACACATTGAACCTTGAAGCAGATGGGCTAAAGCCACAGAAGACTACACCGAGTGCCACTTCTGTCAGCTAAGAACAGGAAACTGAGGCTACAGTTTGCAAGGGCTCACCAAAATTGTAAAATAGAAGATTGCAAAAACGTTGCCTGGTCTGATGAGTCTGGATTTCTGTTGTGACATTTGGATCGTAGGGTCAGAATTTGATATAAATAACATGAAAGCATGGATCCATCCTGCCTTGTATCAACGGTTCAGGCTAGTCGAGCTTCGCATCATGGATGTGCAGCCGACAAATCTTCAGCAACTGTGTGATGCTATCATGTCAGTATGGACGAAACTCTCTAAGGAATGTTTCCATCACCTTGTTGAATCAGTGGCATGAAGAATTAAAGCAGTTCTGAAGACAAAAGGGGCCTAACCCAGTACTAGCAAGGTGTAACTAATAAAGTGGCCAGTGAGTGTATATTCACCAATGTGTACAACTGAGACATCTGTATAGGTTTTTTGAATTGGGTCTTCTTTTATTCAGCAGTACTTAAAAGCTTGCACTTGTAGGAAACAGATCCTCCATAAGTGGTCCTCATAAAAAGAGAAACCAGAAGGGGATTCAACTCCCCATTATCTATCAAAACTGCAATAACTGTTTGAATTATACTGAATTATTTTTCAACATTTCTAACAATAGGTTTATTACCATTTTCTCCACATGCACATTTTCCACTGTTTGTTGGGGCACCCCCCCAAGATGTAATAGCTTCCCCATCTCTGGAAACCCACCACCCCCATGGTCCATCCAAAAATCTGATGTGCCGACAGTCCAGCTGTGAATTAAAAAAAGGAGATTACTTTCAGCAGCTTATAAGTGGAAGTCCACATGAACTAACATTTAACATATACGTGGCAGGATCCATTAAAGGGGTATGTATATTCAACCTGAGAAAATAAGACAATTAATGGTGTTGCAAACTCCTAAAAAGTATGTTCACACTATTTAACTCACTCAAATATACACATATCAATGCACTGAAAAAGGTGAAGTATGGGAACAATCTGAAAAGATTAAAACATTGCTTTTAAATAAACCATGATAAAAGTATCCATGATGTTATTTAGCAAAAGACACAGATACATAAAAATCAGACAGACATGAAAAGTATATTCATTCATTTTTTTTATGATTCTGTGTCCTTTCTATAAGAAAATAAATGTTATCATTGATTGATTAAAAGTGACGTTTTAACATTTTTACTGTGTTTCCAGATCTCAACTTTTTCAATGCCTTGATATATTCTCATTGGAACTGAAACTGCTCTCATTGGAACTGAAACTAAAGCTATTTATTTATAAACAATTTTCATAAAACAAAAGGGCAAAATCAAATGTTCTTAGTGTATTTTCTTTTCTGCTCGAATGTTCTTCAATAGTTCATTCATACAGAACAGAGTGAATGGGGAAAATACCACATTATGGTCACTAGATGAAGCGTAGGATGATAAAATAAATGCCTGTAAGTATCATGATACAATGTATTTGTTTTCTATCACCCTGAGCTCCATCTAGTGGCCATAATATGATAATTTGAATGAATGAACCCATTGAAGAACATTCAACCGGAAGAGAAATTACGCTAAAAACATTTGTTGTTGCCCCATTCTCAAAGCAGCTGGTAAACTCGCACACAACAAATGTACCTGTGGTTTTGTAGGGGAAATAGCTATGTGATTTTTTTTTTAAATATACCACAACCTGTCACTTTTTCAAAGAACCTTATCCTGGTGTGTTAGTTTTGTAAAATGAGCAAATGGTGATGACAAATGGGTTAAGGAATGCTAAAACTTCAGGAAGGACAGTGATGTCCACAATCACGTTAGCATTATTATGGCCACTGGACATTTTCTAAACATTGGCAGTCCTACATCTGATGTTGATTCATAACACATGACAACATAAGGGAAACTAGCTGATACTAGGTTGTCACCAAGCCGGGGACAGATCTGATTGGGGAGCAGGTACTTTACATTACTGTAATACATAGTCACTGCTGTACCATGGACATGCAACCTGTGGCTTTAAAGTGGCCAGAAATAGCAGTAGTGTTCTTACTACTACCCATGAGTGGATTGGAAGCTTAAGAGGCTTGAGATCCAGGCAACAGTAGAGCAAATACACCAAAGTAGGTAGACACTTGCAATAATGCCACTAGTCATTCTCTATTTCCATCAAGGTTGCCATTTATTTTTTTACAGTCAATTGCAATAAAATGAAAAACAGCTCTTTTTTACCGATCACCACAATGGTGCTTTATTAATGATGCTATTTATCAAAACATGCCCGCATTGTATGAGAGATGTAATGCATGAGCAGGTTAGCATCTCATTGTAGAGTGTCCATACAGATAACTCTTTGTTATTTAGGAGGTTTCCACCAAATACATTTTCAATCCTGAACAAGATTAACATTGGATTTAAAAAATATATTACAAAGTACGGAAGTGCCCTGGCGACAAAAAGTAATCTCAAAACATCTCTCTTAATCCATATTCAAAGATAAGAATGCTAGAATCAATATTAAAAATAAGAATGCAAGGATCAATATTAAAAATAAGAATGCAAGGATCAATATTAAAAATAAGAATGCTAGAACCAATATTAAAAATAAGAATGCTAGGATCAATATTAAAAATAAGAATTCAAGGATCAATATTAAAAATAAGAATGCTAGGATCAATATTAACCCCTTCATGACTGAGGCCTTTTTTTCATTTTTTGTACCCATGTTATATTCCACATTTTAGGCCTGAAAATTACTTAAAACCCCCCCAACTTATATATTTTCTGAATGCCAAGACCCTATAGAATAAAATGGTGGTAGTTGCAAATTTTTATGTTGCGCAATATTAGCGCAACTCCTTATTAAACCCCAATATTTAGTGAAAAATTTAATTAAATGCCCCAAAACACAACAAAATACCCATTTGTTTAATGAAATATAAAAGATGAGGTTACAATGAGTAAAACGATACCCAACATGCCCAGGTTACAAATTGCGTGCATCCATAAAACGGCGAAAAACCCCAGTACCCCAAAAAGTCCATAGAAGACGCTTTAAAAGCCCCCACAGGTCATCAATTTAGAGATACCCCAAAATACTGGCCCTAGAATTATTGCTCTCACTCCGGCGTGCGCGGCGATACCCAACATGTGTAGCGCGTTCGTCGTTTTCATACGTAGGCGCACCCGACGCGTGTTTACGTGGCGACGCGCGTGCTCGCGGGGGCGGGGGACTTTTACATTTTTTTTATTATTATTAGATTTATTTTATTTCATTTTAATTTTAAAAACTGTTTTTTGTTTTTTTTTTACTTTACTTTGACTGCTATCACATGGGGGGGCTTGCAAGCCCCCCCATGTAATAGCAGATGGTGGTGACAGGTCCTCTTTAAGGTGATGCTGGGGGTCCAAAAGACCCTCAGTGTCACCTTTACACTGGAAATAAGCTATTGAAGTGCAGATCGCACTTCAATAGCTTATAGCTGGGCTGCAGGAGCCCAGAACTGACAGCCCAGGGACCGGAAGTGATGCAATCTGCATCGCTCCCGGTCCCATAGAACGGGGAGGGGATCGATGAACGGAAGTTCGTCGACCTCCTCCCCAGCTCCCCGCGGACACAAAGATCGCCGGTCCCGGGCCCGTAGGAGGGGCAACGGAGCCCGGGAAGCACGGCGGGGGTGTCCGGCGGGGGGGCGGCCCCTTCTTCGGGACGCAGAAGCGATCTGGCGACAGGTAAGTCGCCAGGATCGCTTCTGTTGTAAAGCCGACAGTCGGCTCTACAAGTTTAAACAGAGTCCCGGCGGCAAAAGTCACCGGGAGTCTGTTTAAACAGCCCCGATGCTGGCGACGTACACTGTACGTCGTCAGTCACAAAGGGGTTAAAAATAAGAATGCTAGGATCAATATTAAAAATAAGAATGCTAGGATCAATATTAAAAATAAGAATGCTAGAATATTATTTCAGAATTCTGAGGAAACGTTACATGAAGATGTATAATTCGGGTATATTTTTGTTTGTTGATGTTGCGTTTAAATTCTTATCTTATCTCATGTTTACATTTATGATGTACCTGAAATGTCTTTCTCTGGCAAACCAAAGGCAGCTTTTTTTTAGATTTGGTCTTTAGCTTTTGGATGAATAGAAGCTCAAGTTTAAAAGTTTAAAAGTGTCCAAAGAAAGAATGTATTGTGCTGTCCATAGCTTACACTGAAAAGCAGTGAGTCTGATGTTTACAGAGCATTCACTGCAGGTGACTCTTTCTGGTGCATGTGTTTTGACTGAACACCAGTGAATGCTTGGGGAAAATCAGATTCCTTGCTTAATAAAAATGCCTAATCCCAATCACTAAAATCTCATTTATTGTCATTGCAAAAGCTATTTCCTGTATTTCTGTTTAAACTGCAGCTTTCAATAAAAGAGAATTAAAGCCAAACTTTGTTTGGCTTTAGTTCTCTTTTGGGTCACAGGAGGACATTTACTAATGTACTCCTACAACCCAAACCCAGCATATAGCGAGTCACTACCTGGTATACGATAACAGTGCAGAGTTGTGCTGTAGCCGGAAAGATTCCAACAATATTGTCGGGATCCACCCTGCTTCCTTATTGACAGCTGGCTCTGCCTCTCTAGAGCCAGAACCAACTGTGCCCACCCCCTCCCCTGTCTGTCCCTCCAATAAGCACTAGAGGAACAGAGAGAGGGGGGAGGGAATCCCTGCGAGGAGCAGTGACTTATTGTTACCGCTTTCTGCTGGGAGAAGCTGGTAGCTGTGCGATCATCAGTTTGTGATTGCTCAGTTTTTGAGCTATAGAGCCTGTGTGTGACAGCTGCAGTGTCACACGCCAGCTCAAAGTATTGTGAAAGTACATTTTACTCATCCAATTCTCCTTTAACCTAATACCCGGTAATCCTGCCATGAAGGACTATGTTCAGGCACTTAGTGTTATAAAGTGACTGTGCTCTGTCCCTGTCTCCAGATTGCGCTCATGTGTTGCCACCCTGTCAGGTGGGATTTTTATGGATTACTACAAGTGGCCATTTCAGAATACATTATGCATGATCCACTGTTGTCACCATCAGGAAACCCACTTTGAGAAATACCATACAGCCATTGCTGGAGTACATCCATGTAGACAAGAAGTGGCTACAAAGAGGCTGCAGGAGGATGGTAGCACAGAGGTGCAATAAAGGTTGACAAAAGATTTCTCTGTTGACGGTCACAGGAGATTGAGATTATTTTACATCCAATGTGTTATCTTCTATTTTCCTAATGGACTATTGAAGATCCAGGATCATGGACATTTTTTAACCATTTATTATTTTCACTGAAGTGCATGTTATACACATGCGTTTTTTCTAGTTGTTATTCTTTGCACATTGCATCACATTGATTCACAGTTAACATCTATTGTATTTGATTTTTCATTGTGGATATTTTGTAGCAATGCATTTACACTGAGGTGCATGTTATATATACATGCGTTTCTTATTTGTTTTGCACTTTTTACACATTGTATCACATTATTTCAGGGTCAGTATCTACTATATCTGACACTTTTGCAGTTTCATTTACACAGCGCGGCTTTTACTATTAATTTTATACTATATATCTGACCACACAGATTTCAGCTGCTGCGTAATTTTATTGGAGTAGTGGCGTGAGGTTTCACATTATTCAATTATTTATAATACAGAGTGCTTGAGCAAACTCCATGCCATTCAGTCCATTCAGTTAGGGTTTAGATCTACTTATAACATGAAAACAACAGTCTTATTGGCTGTTATAGATAGTGCAGTATTTTTTCCCTTTATATACAGTACTTCCACACAGGAGGTTCATGAGTTTTTGTCTTAGTCAAACACAGTCATACTTACTTTCACAAACTGTTCACAGCTCTCAGAAGAACTAGTCAAGGTTCTTAGCTGGGCCAAAGAAGCCTTTTTATATGTGATGGTTCTAGAGTAACATCCAGGCTCTCTACAAGGAATAACTCTCTCCTTACTTTCTGCATCATGTCCAACAATTGTTATTCCTGTATAATGTCACAGTCAAACACAAACTTATATTATATAGGTAAGATATTCAAAAAATCAAAGCAACAGAATTTGAATTCCGTATCACAGGTAAAGAAGAGTGGTCAAAATGCCAAAAGTCCAAATTCTCATGCGTACATACAGAGTAAAGGTGGTCATACATTGTTAGATTTCCGTTTAGTTTCTACCACGAACCCTCGATTGATTATACCCAAACTTCCCCATCAAGCATAGTCAAATGTCGAATTTGAATATTGTACGTTAGCCATACTAACCAACCAAATTTTGACGAACGACAGAAATAATAATAATTAAAAAAAATTATTTTGCACATGTGATGTGTTCTTGCTGAGAATTTTGATGAACACAGACCTGTTTCATCCTCATTCGAAAGACCGTTTGTGTATGATTTCCGAACGAAAATCTAACAATGCATGGTTACCTTGGTCACCTATAATGCTGCTAGGGTCAAATTGCTAAACATTAAACCCCTTATATGGTTTCAATTTAGTAATGAAATGGCTTTATGACATGCACAAACTAGCTTGTGAATGGGAGAACCCTAACAAAAAAGTTACAAGATGGGTATATTGATATGCAGTTCATAGACTGGGTGGCTCCTGCAATTTTCTGTTCTTTAAAGGTCAGAAAAAGGAGATGAGAGGTATTTACACTGTTTAGCATGCTTACCTGTTAAGAGGTTACACTTAAAGGCCAAGTCGCTATTTGCTGTCCATTAGATACTACAGTGTTTACTTCACACCGAGCTCTGCATTGTACAACTCAATAATAAATTGCAGAGCGCAGTGTGGAGCCTGCTGTGTCCAACAGAATATTCTGTGTATAACATTGCAGAGAACACCCTGTGATTGGAGCAGAGGCCAGTCACATTACTTTGACAGGTCGTGTGACCTTAGTTCTCCTCCTCTGGGATTTTTTTCTGTCATTTATTCATTTGACTAGGACGTCCCTTACTTTGGGACTGTGCTGCAAAGGACATATTTGTAAAGCATATCACTGTGTAAGGATGTTGAGGACAGCAGGAAAATAATTTTGGGTGGGGTGGCATTAAGTTCTCTGCAATGGAGCAATGTTTGGTGGTGCAGCCAGTGGAAAAGTTAAGTATTTGCTGGCTTCTTTTTAGGTAACATCCTTATTTTAAAATGTATTAAAGCAACTTAGTTGCTTTAAAGTGACATTAAACCCTCAGATTTTTTAACATAAACCAATACTGTAATGCGCGCCTTACTGTAATCCATGGTTGTTTCCCTTCTCTTTGCTGCTCTTCCTTTTAAATCCTCATGTCTTCTCATGCTGGGGGAGAACTTCCCTTTGCAGCTGAGTGCCTCTTCCTGTAGTGTTGGCTCAGGTTGTGAACCTGTAAACAGACACCATGTATCCATTTCAGAGACAAGGCAGTCTGCTGCAAAACAGAAGTTCTCCCCAAGCATGAGAAGACATGATGATTTAAAAGGAAGAGCAGCAAAGAGAAGGGAACAACCATGGATTACAGTAAGGCACACATTACAGTATTGGTTTATGTTAAAAAAATCTGAGGGTTTAATGTCACTTTAAATATCAGTTATTTAACAAGGCCCCATTGATGTTAGGAAAAGTAATAGGGACAGCACAGTGCAGGCAAGGAGCCTGGGGGGACCCTTTAAAGGTAATAAGGACTGAATTGTCAAAGGGATACCAGTAGGGTATCTCATGCTTATTTTGATAGCCGGGTGGCCCAAAACTAATGTTTGATGAACTCCTGTCTGATTGAGATCACTTCCGCTTAATGGAGTTTGCATGAAGCTTTGGGGAGAGGGGGTGGATGTTAGGGATTGTCTTGCCCCTGAACACATCATTAGGGCACCTTTGTGTCTCCCAATGCATCAGTTTTATTAGATGACTACTTTGCAGAGGACAATACAATACTATGGTCCTAGGTGCACATGAAAGATACTGCTCGAAACCCAACTTCTATAAGATTGGCTAATCAGTTGTTTTAAAGGGGCTTTTAAGAAACCTATCATTTAAATTAAAGACAACATTATTTTTTGTGACTAGTAAGTGGTGTCTTTACGGAAAATATCAGCATTATACATTTATGAATAATGTTAGATGTACATGTCAGTACATTACTGCCTTGAGGCTGCCATATAAGGTAAAGAAGGGTTGCAATTCAACTTTAAAAGCTTTCCTTAAATGTTATGAGGCCTTTGTATAAAAAATGATATACAGGAAAAACAGGAATTGACCAAAAGAGGAGTAGGATTTGGAACTAATTGAAACTAGAATGTGAACCAGTATACAGTATTTAGTAGACTGTTATAATTAGGGTTGCACAGATACCGAGTACAGTACTCGGTACAAGTACGAGTACATGTACCGATACTTTTGAGCTCCAAGACTACACTAGAGAAAAATTCAAAAGTTAGGAGGCAGCTGTCATTTGTAAGGAGCACACGGAGCTCCCGGGATTTGTACATCTCTGTTTTCATGTAGGATTTTGTTTTTATAAATATAAATAAAGGGATGCACCAATACCAGTTTTGCGAGTACGAGTACTGATACTTGCCGAGTACTTACAAGTATGAGTACTGATACATTTTTGTTTATTGTCATGTGACAGTTTTTCTAAAACAATACAGACTAATGATTTCAGGACAGTGGTGGAGTGCCAGAGCCCGGTCCCAGCTGCAACCCCTGCAACCCTGGTAGTTCTCATGAAAATGCCAAGTATCTGCACTGGTACTCTAAAAGTATCTGTACATCCCTAGATAATAAAGGTTTTTTCTACATGCCATAGAAAATTATGCTTCAGCTATTTACAGTGCAACGGTTTCCAGTACCATTTGTATAGGCAGCACTATTGATTTTGTCTGAATAGGAACAGAGACAAAAGTGTAGTAGGCTGAGGAATCAGGGGGATATGCCAGAATACTTTGTACCTATAGGAATTTCTACTACTGTGAGTCCCTGTGTGTAACCAAGCTTAAATTGGCAAGTGGGCAAAGACATCCAATTACATTAAGGGTGTTACTGTTTAAGAAAATGTAGGCTACTTTTGTAAAGATACTTGCGGTTACATACATAAAAAGGGAATAGCATGTGTTCTGCCTCAACTGGCATGGAATTTTTTACTTACCTTCCGCCATCTCAAAATTGGCCACAAGATGGTGCTGTAGAGAATATATCTCTATGTACAGCAGAGCAGACTGTTTTTTTAATGTTGTTACATAGTTACATAGTATTTGGGGTTGAATAAAGACATACGCCCATCAAGTCCAACCCATATAGGTCCACGCATCATCTCATTCTTAGGGATACTGGTATCCCTGGATGTTACGGTCCCTCAAGAAATTGTCCAAAAGTTTCTTGAACAAATCTACACTTTTGGCTGAAATCACTGCCGATGGCAGTGAGTTCCAGACCTTAACCGCTCTTACTGTAAAGAACCCTCTTCGCCCATTGTGCTGGAATTTTTTCTCCACCAACTTTAGGTGGTGGCCTCTAGTCTTTGTCATTGAGTTAATCTCAAACAGTTTGTTGCCAATGTTGCTGTCACCATTGAACATCTTGTACATGAGAATCATATCCCCCCTTAATCTCCTTAATTCCAGCGTAAACATGTTTAAGGTCAGAAGCCT